ACGGAGCAGGGAGCCCGATGCGGGGCTCGATCCCAGGACCCTGGGATCATGACCTGAGCCGAAGGCAGACGCTTAACGACTGAGCCACCCAGGCGCCCCATTTTTTTAACATTTTTAAAATACCATTCTGCTCAGTTTTCCGTCTAGGGATTTTTAAAATCAAAGTCCCAATACATTTACATATATATTTAGTTGATGTTAGTGAAATCCTATGCATATTAACACTTGGGACCAGAAGGCTGATATCTATAGCTGCAATTATTGTATATTTTTTAAAAGATTTTATTTTTTTATTTTAGAGATAGAGTGCAAGCAGGGGGAGGAACAGAGGGAGAGGGACAAGCAGACTCCTTGCTGAGCATGGAGCCCGCCGTGGCTTGATCACAACCTGATGATCTCACGACCCTGATCTCACAACCCTGAGATCATGACCAGAGCTGAAATCAAGAGTCAGATGCTTAATCGACTGAGCCACCCAGGCGCCCCTGAAATTATTATATTTTTTAATTGAACTGTTAATTTTGAGAAATTATAGATTCACGTGCAGTTGTAAGAAATAATACAGAGAGATCTTATGTACCCTTTGACTCGTTTTCTCCAGTGGGGCATCTTTCACAACTATTGTACAATATCACAACCAGGATTAGTATAATCCACTGATCCTGTTCAGATTTCCTGTTTTTACTTCTGTTCATTTATCTGTGTGTATATTTAGTTCTATGCAATTTTTATCACATATGTAGGTTAGTGTTGCCTTCACTAGTTCCATGATCACAAGGATCCCTTGTATTGGCCTTTATAACCCTACCCACCAAGTGGCGGGGGCGGGAGGGGGCTCCCTAACCTCTGGCAACCACTAATCTCTTCATCTCTCTAATTTTGTCATTTCAAGAATGGAACCACACAACATGCAACCTTCTGAGACTGGCTTTTTTCTCTTAGCATAATCCCCTAAGAACTATCCAAATTATTGCATGCATCAATAGTTCTTTCCTTATTGCTGTGTAGTATACCATTCATGCACTGAAGGACATCTGGGTTATCTCGTTTTTTGCTATTATGAATGAACCTGCCGTGAACTCTCATATGCAGGTTTTTGTGTGACTGTAAGTCTTCATTTTACTGGAATAACTGCCCAGGTATGTAATTACTAGGTCATACGGTAGTTACATATTTAGTTTCTTATTTTGCTTTAAAGATTTTATTTTTTTAGAGCAGTTTTAGGTTATTGTAAAATTGATCAGAAAGTACAGAAATTTCCTGTATATTTCCTGCCCCTCCACATGCATAGCCCTCCCCTGCCTTATCAACATCCCCCCACCAGAGTGGTAACATTTGTTACAATTGATGAACTTACTATTATCGCCCAAAGTCCATAGTTGATGCTAGGGTTCACTCTTGGTGGTGCACATTCTCTGAGTTTGGACAAACATACAGTGATACATATCCACCATTATAGGATCATACAGAGTCTTTTCACTGCCCTAAAAATCTGTGCTTCATCTGTTCATCCCTTTCTAGCAACCATTGATCTTTTTTACTGTCTTTATCGTTTTACCTTTATCAGAACCTCATATAGTTGGAATCATACAGTATATAGCCTTTTCAGATTGGCTTTTTTTACTTAGTACTATGCATTTAAGGTTCCTTCATGTCTTTTCATGGCTCAATAGCTCTTCCTTTTTAGCACTGAATAAATATTCCATTGTCTGAATATACCACAGTTTATCATCCACTGAAGGACATCTTCACTGCTTCCAAATTTTGGAAACTGTGAATAAAGCTGCTCTGTATATCTGTGTGCAGGTTTTTATGTTGACATAAGTTTTCAGCTCCTTTGAGTAAATACCAAGGAGTGCAATTGCTGGAACATATGGTTAAGAGTATGTTTAGTTTTTTAAAGAAACTACCAGACTGTTTTCCAGAGCGACTATACCATTTTATAATCTCACCAGCAACGTAAGAGTAGTCTGGTTCTCCATATCCTCTGCAGAATTTGGTGCCACTAATTTTTTTTTCCGTTATAGTGATAGTAGTATTTACTGTGACTTTAATTTACATTTCCCCAGTGGCTAATGTGATTGAACATCTTTTTTGTGCACTTTTTTTGCCATCTGTATTATCCTCTTCAGAGAAAGGTCTGTTCATGTCTCTTGCCCATTTTCTAATTATTACTATTTTTGAAATACTGAGTTTTGAGAATCCTTTATATATTGTAGATACTAACCCTTTGATTATGTGATTAACAAATATCTTCTCTCAGTCTATCACTTGTCTTTTCATGCTCTTTATAGGGTCCTTCACAGAGCAAAAGTTTTTAATTTTGTTGAGCTCTGGTTTATCAATTTTTACTTTTTAGAGACTGCTTTGGGGGCCAAGTTTAAGAACTTTTCGCCTAGCCTTGAATCCTAAAGATTTTTGTCCTGCTTTTTTCTTTTCTCCTAAAATATTATTTTAAGTTTTAAGCCCATGATGCATTTTGAGTTAATTTTTGTAAAAGGTTGAAATTATTTTAAGTGAAGTAAAACCAAGGTCTTAGTCATGCCTTTAAACTGTTGGTGGGCTGATAAAATATGATCTGTGATAGTTTGGCTTTTCATCCAGGGTTTGATGTAGCTTCTAAAAGTAATTTAATATAAAAATTCAATCAAATAGGATGGCCTGATTAATGTTTTAACCTTTGGTTGCTGAGTGTCTTTTGAAAAATTGATTTGGTTTGCATTGGGAAGTTGTATAGTAATTGCCTTGAGTTTAGATGTTGTGCAGCATGTGAAAATTATTCTAAGGATGGGTATTCTGATTTACAGTACTATGGGAGAAAATCTAGAAACTGTTAAAAATTAGACTGTGTGAGTTACTACTTTCACTTAGGAAGCTTGTTAGAAGTCCTCTATTCATCCATTTTCCTGAGACTTAGAGCATCAGAGGAAATTTGAGGAGGACCACAAGCTTTGATATTAGACTTTGTGGGTTCAGATCCTGGCTCTGCCACTTAACTACCTCTGTAACAATCTCTCCTTGCCTTAATTTCCTTATTTGTAAAATAGGTATGATAATTATCCACTTCATAAAGTTGTTGTGAAGCTATTACTCACTTAGAACGGTGTCTGGTACATAGTAGGCACTCAAGAAATTTTAGCAGTTCTTTTTTCTTTTTCTTTTTTAGATTTTATTTATTTGAGAGAGAGCGCGCGCTCGCCTGTGTGTGTGCATGCGAGTTGGGGGAGGGGCAGAGGGCGAAGCGGACTCCCTGCTGAGCAGGGAGCCTGAGGAGGGGCTTGATCCCAGGACCCCGAGATCATGACCTGAACCTAAGGCAGACACTTAAGCATCTGAGCCACCCAGGTGCCCCTAAACTTTAGCAATTCTTATTCCTGAAGCATCGACTTTGTGCGAAGATGAGTCGGAATATATTACTTTTATGTTAAGATACGTATGCTTCTATTAGGAAAAGAATACACAATTCAAATCATTTATAGTACTTAAACAGTAAAAGAGAGACTTGAGGTAAATTTTATGTTGTATTGGGTACCCCTTTTGGCTACCTAGTATTCATTCTCCTCTGCCAAGAGGTATTTTCTGAAAAAATCTCTTTGAAAACGCTACCCATTTCTTATCCTAGTTAGACCTTTCCTAATATTTGTTTCCTTTTCAGGCTAGACAGATCTCTCCCATATATCCAGTGTAGCTGGTTTAAAAACTTGTCTGAGAGGTACACCTTCCTCCAGACCAGCATGGAAAAGAGCTTGAGATCTACTACCCTTGTAACAGACACTTCAGGAAAAAAAGGTGTGGTTGGTCAAATACCCTAGTTCATTTTTTCAGGATTTGTCTTTTCCTTTAATACTTTAATTCCTTTAAAAAAAAAAAAAAAGCTACAGTTCTCAATAGGCTACCCACAGACATTTGTTTCAATGTAGATTTCTTTGGCCAAAATCAATATTTTAAAAGATACTGTAATGAGGAAAGATTGATGCTTAGTCATAGTAGAACCAGCCTAGCACCTATCTGGTACCTATTTGGTACCTGTGAAGGGAGGGAAAAATTCTTCCTCTACCTTTCAAGGTCTTCCAGTTAGACTAAGACTTAAATCTATATGAGACAGATTAACAGGAAAAAAAAAACCAGTTTTATTACATGCGCAAGAGGCCCAGTAATGACAATTGACACCTAAAGAAATGACCAAGACAGGCAGTTTTTATGCTTTTTAGACAGACAATAAATCTGTGAGGAATTGACAGGACAGAGAAAACTTAACTTTGGGTGCTTTAATTAGTAAGGAATTCTTAAGAGAATTTGGATTGTGCTAGTAAATCAGTAAAAAGTAAAAACGGTTGTTTATACAGCTTTCCTGGCTCTAAATTTCTTATCTGTGGAGATCAGGTTGTCTCTACCTCCTGATACTGGGAGGATACCTCTTGCATGGGAGATTTATTTCCTGTTTTCAGGGGGACAGAGGAGGGGTCTGAGTGTCCTTCCTGCACAGGCTGTCTCTGAAGTAACTTTTATTTAAAATAATCGATGTGCCAGAGTGACACATTTTGGGGCAGCTTGTCCTTGGCACCCTACACCTGCCTGGCATTTGTGGGCCCCAGCTGATGCTTTTCAATCTGATTACTCACAACCACTCTTATCAAAGAACCTGGGTCCTACGATGAAAGAAAATGGCCCATTTCCCCCCTGTAATGTTTGCTTACTTACTTGCTTGTCTATGTATCTATTTATTTACTGGTATTCACTTTAGTCTTGCATGCTGAAATGTTTGAACCATTTGAAATGGCCCTTTTTATAGGTCAAAATTGTTGAATACCCACAATCTTATTCTCATTCATGGTAAAATTTAAGGACTTAAGATTTATAGAAATACTATTGAAAGTGTTGTGTTTTGTTTTTTTTTTAAGATTGATTGATTAATTGATTTGACAGGGAGCACAGGGGGAGGGACAGAGGGAGAGAATCCCAAGCAAACTCCATGCCAAGCGTGCAGCCCTGTGTGGGGCTTGATCCCACAACCCTGAGGTCATGACCTGAGCAAATACCAAGAGTCAGACGCCTGACTGACTGAGCCACCCAGCTGCTCCTTAATGGAAGTATTGTTACTGCCATGGCATTGAAATAAAAAGAATTCAATTTGCAGCTAAAAATTATAATAGGCTTGTACATGTGATATTAGTTAAAACCTAAAACAATCTATTGTCACAGAATATTTGACGTATAAAAACGTAATAGTTTATGTCAACTTCAATAAAATAGGTCAATAGTTTTATTGGGAAGAAATGTTACTGTTATAACCAAAATATAAAGTGAAATAAATACACTGGAAGTGGACCCTGAAGTAGAATATGAAAGCTAGTTTCTGTTTGTGGCAGATAAAATTCACCAGACAGGGGCGCCTGGGTGGCTCAGTTGGCTAAGCAGCTGCCTTCAGCTCAGGTCATGATCCCAG